GAAGTCACAGCGTCGGGGGGTCACCGTGGGGGGAGTCAGCGGGCAGGGAGGCGGCTTGCGGCGACCGGCCGTTCCCAGCGCCCGTCAGCGAGGAGCTCATGAAGCTCGGGCTCGCTGTCGTCGCCGTTGGCCTCGCCCGCCAGGGGGCAGCTCAAGGAGGGAGCTGGCGAAGGAGCGCTGCGCCGCGACTGCGAGCAGTGCACTCCAGCGGGAGATAACAATGCTGCCCGGGCCGCGGGTCGCAAGTGCGCCGGGACAGTCGCAGCCCGGTGGCGCGCAAGCAAGCGGAGGAAGGTGGCTGCTTCAGCGCCGAAGCGCTTCCCAACCTCAAGCCCGATCACGACGAGGCGGCAGCGCCGTGCCCGCTGCAGTTCCGGATACGTGCCCTGCCTCTTGCGCCTCGCTGCCGCGGCGACGCAGTGGCCAGGCTCGACGTCAGCCCGTGGGTGGGGTTCCCCTGCACGCGTCAGCGGCGACACGAGGGTGGCATCGAGGGCGAGTTGCGCACCATGCCACAGGGGGAGCCCGTTGGCGACCACTTCAATCCGCCGGTCATTGGCGACGGGCACATCAATGTTCATGTCCGCGACACGCACATTCCTCGCGACGCGAGCGCCGCCCTCACGGCAAACGCGCGCGACCGCTCGTTCGAGCATGCCCCCGGCGAAGGGATGACACGTGCAACTCGGGAAGTGTATTAGGAGGCGCAACCCTAAACCCTAAGCTTAGAAGCTCTATAAACCCTAAACAATCCCAGAAAACGAGGAATCGAGTCCTGGCCTTCATCTTCGCCACAGACGAGTCTTTCGACAAGTGTCTGGGCTCGCATGTGTGCAGGTGCGCAGAGGGGTTTTTCTCGATCCTAGATGAGGGCCCAATTTCAGGTCCACGGTTGAGTTTTCCCAAAGGTTCTGAGCGACATCACAAAAACTAGACGTACTCACACAACCGGACAATCACGCAAGCCTTGCAGAGAGGTGCAAGGCTTAGCCTATGCTTCCCCTGTTTTGTTTCCACTCCATGACACGGCTCAGGGTTTTTTGCAGCACATCTCTCTGCATCAAGTCGGGTGTGGAGGTAGGTTGCCATCCTTCTTAGCTGAGGTTGATGAAGCTGCCCAAGGACTGTGGCAAAGGTTTTTGAAGCCTTTGGAGTCAGCTTAATTATTCTCGTTTGCATTCAGCAAGCGCAAAGTATCGACATTGATCCCGGCGGTCTCCTGTTGGATCAGTTAGAGTGGGGCAGGGCCTTTAGTTTTTCAGTCGCCACTGGCCCAACCGTGACAAAGTACTCCCATTGCCGCTCTTGAACTGCATCTGAGCCGCCGATGATTGGAGATTGAGTCTTGAACCCTGCACCCAAGACACAACTTCCCTAAATCGGTGAACCCATCCCCTACAAACTCTGCGGGGCCTACGGCACAGGAGCCCTTCAAGATGAGCTGTGGCGACCAGCCTCCTGGCAATTTCGGGTTTATGAGATGTTCATCCCCATGCTTTGGGCTCTGCCATCTTCTGCAATCGGCCGAAAGTGTGAATCGGCGAGAGAGGGGATGGTGTTTGTCTTCGAAGCCCGCTTTTGATGCTGAATGCTGTGTAAACAGAGTCCCCCCTGTCGGTTCAGGCTTAGGGTCAAGTGTTCGGGGCTCATAAAATAAAAACGGTTTAGGAAGCCCTGGGAGATGTCCCACGCCAAGGTTGTGCGTTCACTTGGCGCACATCTCCTTAGCCACGGCCGGCTGAAGGTGGATCGCGATCGGGCGAACAGGCGAGGACAGATCTGGTGGTGAGCTGGCTAACAGGTTGGAGAGCAGTGGCAGTTCGAACTTTGGGATCTATGAGTGGAGGAAGCATGGATGGTGTGGAAGAATCGGCCGAACCATTCCTTATACTGCAAAACAGTTTGACAAAGGCATCACGCTGTGGGGATGCTCCTGTGCAGGTCCCTTGCGCGCCATGTGAACCGGATGCGGTTTCACCACAAGACAGCGCGCAGGATTGAAAGGTCCAGATTCAGGGACGAAGGCTTATGACTGCTGAATGTTGCTGAGGGACGTTTAGTTCTTGACCTTCATTGTAATTACGTGCAGCGCGGCTGCAGGGGCGGACCTTCAAGCATTGAGCTTCTCCTAACTGCTTCGGATCCTGGTGTGATGGTTAGCCTCCATGTGCACCCTCATCACATGGAGGTAACCCTAAACCGACGAAAGCGTACTCACAATCAAAAAAGAGCCTGGACCTGGTTCGATCGAGTTGTTAGCTTCTCAGTTCACCTGAGAGCTGCTCCGAGGCAAGAGCCTTTGAGACAGACCATGGCTCAGGGTTTAAGGGTTCCTTGCTTTTTGGGGGCCTCCTTTTGAGGAACCTTCTACGTGGGTTTTTTGACGGGGAGGCCTTGAAACTGGGAGACCCTCGCATCTGCATCGGCTGGCCAAGAAGGGAAATTGCTGCAATCTTACATTCGGGATGCCAGGAGCACATGCCCGGCCAAAGCAGAGAGGATCGCAGCCCCTGACTGAACAAGGGTGCGCGGCACGGGATGCTCAACTCTGGAATGGCCACGCCTCGGGATGAAACGAACCACCGACATGCTGCCTACTTGGGTCCTGGTTGTCCTGGATCACATCCGGCGGGAAACTGTCTGTGCCGCCCGCGGTGCAGCTATCAGCACTAATTACCTGCACTTCCGTTTTCATCGCAGGCAAGAACGGCCTAGAAGAAAAAAGGAGGCAGCCCCACAAACCCGTCATGCCCGTGGACGTTCGCCCGCTGATCGGACGCGCTGGCCGTCGAGGCAGCCACGAGGGGCAGGGGCAGACGAAGAAGAGGAACGCCAACCTGAGTGCGAAAATGCATACTGTCGCGGCCCGAAACTTTCCTAAACTTTAGACCTTTATGCCTAGCTTGAACAAATGAGCTTGCGCTCTCGCAGCCATGGACGTCTCACGCTTGAGCTCTGCAACCTGCACACCTGATGACTGCACTTGCCGCGCCGCAGGGTCTTTTTCGAACAAACCCATTTAGAAATGACAAGAACGCCACTACCCGACTCAGGTTCGAGAAGCTAGCTACGCACCCCGGACATCCCGAATCTTTACACGACCCTCGTTGGGGCGGCGACTGCATGTCCAAGTCAGGTCGTGAAATGTTGGACGGCAGAAGTGGGGTCTCCAACTGACCCCGAACCCCGGCCTCCATGTGGCAGCGATTGTAGGAAGTTCTGTGGGTTTCAGCAGATCGTGGTTGCAGTGCCCCTGCCCTTCGCCCCTCTACATAGTTCTTTTCCCCGGAATCCGCAGGCCTTTGTTGGAAGTGTGCATTCACAAACATTCACAAACGGGAGTTCGGGGTGACAGTTCGTGACCGCATGTGCAGCGAACACTTTCGTCTTTGGTATCCAGCTGCTGGATTGTCTCCAGTGCTTCCCAAAGCGTCTCAAGGCTCTTTCCCATTTGTATCTTTCAGAGTTTTGGGGCTTGTGCCCTTTCATTGACCCGACCCATGCACACACTGGATGGCATACCCTCACCAGCACGAAGCTGGAGGCCTAGACTACCTGCGGCAGTCAGTTTCCAGGTGCCCCCTTTGGGGGCTGACCTGCGTGGGCCCATGATTCAAGACGCCCCCCCCGAAGCTACACTCCAAGTGACCTCAGGGCCCTGGCGGGTGATGATCGAAAAGGCTTCTCCAGTGGCTGTTCGGTTTCGTTGTTCGGTTTAGTCATCAAGGGTGATGCAAGGGCAGCCACCAATGTGTTTGTAAGCCTGGTGGTGCTATAGGCCACTATCATTCGTTTTCGCAGCTGCTGCTCGGCATCGCCAATGGGATCTTCGGAGGAAAAGAAGACTGGGGTGAGCGGAAGCAAGTGTACATCATGCAGGCCGATTCGCCAAGCCTTTCCATCCCGAATGTCTTGATCTTCACCGATTGTCGTACTGGCATGGCATACTGGCATATAGTAACGGACAAGTGCCCGTCCTGGCACAAGTTTTGCCGCCCACGACTGAGGACGCGGAATTGATGCTCCACGTGGCAAAGTCCTCCTCTTAGCATGCAAGCAAGGCTTTCGACCTATATATCAAGCTGAAAGAGTATCATGCTTTGTCAGCTATGTGGGAGGGAGGGTGCAGTGACATGTTGTGATGTGCGGATGCAAGTTTCGGATCCCAGAGGCCAGAGACCTCCTCAAATTCCCCTTCCTTAAACCTCAGAATCGGGCCCTACTGTTGTGTAGCAGTTTTGCACTGCCGGTCTCTTCCTTTCAAGAAACTCTGGTTTAGCCAAGCCTATTCTCCGGCTTGCTTCCCCTGCTTAGGATATATCCCCAATGAAGGACCATTGTGCACACGCCACAAGCACCAAACCCACATGTACCACTATCTGCATACTACAGTGGATGGCCCATGGAAACCCCGGTTCCCATATGCTTCGATTGTTATTCTACCTGACACATTCGACAGCAACAGCGAAGTCCATGAGGAGACCTCCGCCTGCACATTAGGCAATGTCCAGCAGACTACATCATGCATGCGAGGGAGAGCTTGGTCAACAGTGCCGCCAGTACATGTTGCCCTAAGGCATCTCCTAGGCGTCCGGCATCATCGTCTGCCAGCTCAGGCGCAGGCCAGAAAATTGTCATTTCATCCTGACGATCTTGCCGATTCCTGCCAAGCAAGGTTCGGCACCTCACCTACCAGAAAAGCCTACGAATGCAGGTATCACTCTGTGTGTGTGTGTGTGTGTCTCGGTGCGACTCCATGAACAACCCAGAAGCCCCTGGGCAAGTCCCCTAAACTTTCGGCACAACTCGAGAAGTGTACCGAGAGCCTAAAGTCTAACATGCTTACCCTAAACCCTAAACCCTTGTGCGAGTGCGAGAGCCGAAACCCACAACCTGCTTCAGTGTGTGCGAAGCCCCTAACCCCAAAACCCTCAATCCTAAGCTCTCGCCTGCGGTCCGTAGGCCTCTTTGACTACGACGAGGAGCTCCGTGCAGCAGGCATGGGGCAGGCAAGAGATGGCACGAGCTCGGGCGAAGCAACAACAAGTGACAATGATGGTGATACTAGAACTTGAACCATTGCACAAGATTATAATATGAGACGCGTGCGTATAACAAGGATGCTGCGGCGTAGTGGTAATACGAAATGCATATTCAATGTTTATGGATTGACACTTTATTCATCGCAGCAAGCAACCGTATAGTGAAAAAACGCTGTTATGACCAAACTGCATGACAAATATCAGCTGCGCAGGCATGAACATAAGCGCGTGCGTGCGTGCGTGGGTGGGTGGGTGGGCGGGTGTGTGTGTGTGTCTCTATACATATATCGTAGCATATATCTCTATATCTAGGTGTATACATGTATATTTTCCTTCGAATGTAGGAGAATTTGGAAGATGCTGATATGAGGATCGTATCATACAACGACAACGATCCTATGGTTTCTCTTGACACGACTGCGCAATCATCTTCATAATGCATCGCAACGAAAGAAAAGAAGCGATCTCACAGATGAATAAGAACTTCCGTCAAGCCTCAAGAGAGATCCGAATCGCTCGATAGCTGCTTTGTGCAAGGCTCAGGGCGGCCGCTCGGGGTGGGGACCCCAAGTAGGGCTTGTGCTTGACGGCCGCCAAGTAGGTTGCGAGTCAAGTGGCCAGTGACGTCGCGGAATTTTCTGTAGTATGGTTGTTCGATGTATGTCGAGGGTTCTGGGGCTCATGGCTACAAGATGCCTTCGGTCCAAGCAAAAGCGGTGGCAGTTGCTATGGTGGCATTGTAAATCAACACAACCGCAACCGCAAAGATGTTCTGATAGATTCTGGGCAGGTAATCGTATCAGTCGATGCATCGTGTAAGGGCTTTTTGGGCAAATGGCCACGCAATAATGTGGTTCTAAAGCGCAACCTGTGTGGCAGCATCTGAATAGCCTAGCGCGGATGATCCGAAGTCCATGCGGCGAGGCTACCATTTATTTGGAATCGCTGGCGCTGTCTGCTTGCTTTGCACTCGGCTGGCAAGATGTTTCTTGGCCTCCTCGTCGCCATCACCGGCCCTCCGACGACGCGACCATATGAGATGGCTGTTTGCATCAGGCTTTCTCCCAGCGGCAGAAGCTGCTGAAGCCGCAGAAGCCCGAGCTAGTGATGCAGCGTGCATTCGGGAGGCTGCCATGGCCGTGGCCCGGCAAGACCCAGTCCTAGCGCCGAGCTTGTTGCGGCTAGCCTTCCATGATGCCGCAACGCGGCGGCAGGGGGAAAACGGCCAGGGTCCCAATGGATCAATCCGCTTTGAGCTAACGCGGGATGAGAACTTCGGGCCCTCCATGACAGCTGCGCTGGCAGTGGTGGAGGGCATCGTGCAGCGCTGCAAGGTGAGCTGGGCCGACGCCATTGCTGTCAGCGGCGCGGCCGTGGTTGAGGCCATGGGAGGGCCGTCTATAACCATCACGACCGGGAGGTCGGATGCTTCAGGCCCCGATGCGGGCAAGCGCCTGCCCAACGGCACCCTTACCGCCGGGTCGATTCGGGACTACTTCCGCCAGCTTGGAATGTCTGATGCCGAGCTGGTCGCACTTCTTGGAGCTCATACGGTGCCCAGGCAGAACTTCGCGTAGTCACGTAGTCCTGTTCCCATGGCATTTCCGTGTACATGTTGTTCCTAGGTGATACAGTCGGAAAGCCATTCATATGTCCGGCACTCCCGGGGAAACTATCCACATGGAGGTATTTCGTTCCGCCGCAGGTCCCCACATGTGCCGTTAGCTGAGTGACTCCTTGTTTAGACACCCACCGTGAGTCCCAGCAAACCTTTCAACAAGAGGTTGCCCATGGGGGCAACCATCAGCAAAGAACCTGAAGCTTGGCCCTCGGAAGGCCTCATGCCTCTTGATCCTCCCAAAGCTAAGCCAGCCTGCACGACCCAGCAACCCCTACATCCCAATTGTGATGCCCACTGTGCCCCTGGCAATCCCCAATGTCCTGCCCGAAACCCTACACCCTAATCCCTCCCTAACTCTAAACCCTATAGACCCCCTAAACCCCCTAAACCAAAATGTCCTGTTTGCCAAAGACCCCTGGCGGCAAACCAGGTGGGGCGATGGACATCCCTGCTTGATGTGCGCCCGGACTGCCTTGACAAGGCGCAGAACTTCGTGGCTTTGGGGCTCTTGGTTTAAAAAGTATAGTAAAATAAAAACCATAATGACGTAATGACATAACAACAGAATAACTCAATATCATAAATGAACAAAAACAGAATAACAGACAGAATCACATAATAACATGATAACAGACAGAGTCACATAATAACATAACAACAGACAGAATCACACAATAACATAACAACATAACAACATAATGGCGTAATAACGCAATAGCATTGAAAACATCATAACATCATAACACTATAACATAATAACATAATAGCATAATAACAAAATAACATACTAACATAATAATAACATACTAGCATAATGACATACTAACATAATGACATAATAATACTAAGAACACAATATTAAACACAACAACATAATAACACAACAGTAACATAGTAACATCATAATAACGTAAACACGTACCATCATAATATCATAACAACATAAGAAACATCATACCACAATAGCATAGGAACAACAAAAAAGAAGAACATAATCACCGAAACATATAATAAGATGCCAACATGGGCTACAGAGCTCCAGGCCAGCAGAAACAAGAACAAAAGCAGAGCTTTCAAAAAACTGAGCTTGGGGGGGAGAACATCGTTGCAGTCTTTCTGCCCGCAGGAGGGCCGAGCTTTCTGGACCTGCTCGCGGGAGCGCTCGGAGTAGGGGCTGCGGTTCAGAAAGGGGGGCCTCGGTTGTCTTGTTCGGATCTCGGGTTTTGAGGGTTCAGGGTTCTCCCCGTGTCCTTGCGGGAGTCGATCCAGATGTGCTGGTGGCAGGCTCAGCCGATGCGGTAACAAAGGTTTGCAGTGTTTTGCCTGTGCTGACTGGAAACCTCAAACCCTGAACCGGATTGAACACTTCCGGCTGCATACTGTAGCACTATCGAGGAGCAGGGCCGTCGTCTTCCCTTCACCAGAAGCCCTGCAGTCTTCAACAACAAGTACTTCCAGGAGGCCCTTGTGTGTAGGGGTGGCATTTTTGTGCTGTTGCCATGCCAGCGCCGAGCTCGGGAGAGCTTTATCACTTGGGCAGTGGGGGGGTATCAAGTTACGGTATCAAGGTATCTCACAAGTTACCCGTCGTCTTGTGTTGAAAACGATCGCAGGGTCTGAGTTGGAACCGAGCCTTCCTGCTTGCGTGGGGTGGGCTGTTCGATTGCGACGAGCCGACCCAATATTAAGAACAGCGAGGTGCCCTGGCCAAAGCATGTCATCGGCTCAGACGCCGCAACAGCAGCCTAGGCTTCTTAGGTTCCTCGCACATTCGCACAATGTCCGGTATGCCGACGTGCTGCGTGGTCTTCCTGGGCCTCGCAAGATTTGCATGCGGGTAGCACCTTCGGAATGTTAATCATGCTTTTTGTTTTTTGTCTTTACCATGTCAGCACAAGGCAAGGTTTGTAAGGGTCTATCATATGAAAGTGGAGGGTTTCAAGACGATCTACAGTTGTGGTGATGGCAGATTTTCTGGTGAAGTCACCGGCTTTTGCAGGTCTCCGTATATCCGGTGGCCACAAGGATCCGACTTTAGGTTTTGGTCGATCCCCAGCCTAGCAACAACCCAAGAATTGTTCTTTTGTTAACACTTGTCCTTAATGGGATTATAGTAGGGGGTAATCCAATCCCCTTTTCGTGACTGCTAGCGTTAGGGGGAACATCTCAAACTTTACTGTAACATGCCCTAGCCCAAATGAGCACAGGAAAGCCATTCCATTTGGGCTAATTTTCGGTTGCCGCTGGCGTAAGAACTCTCCATGTTTCATTGCCACCGGTACACATCATTCTCGTTACAGCTGCTATCTGCGAATATTCTTGCTGCCAGAGTAATAACAATCCGAATTTAACCTAGCAGTACTTGAAGGCTTGACAGCCCAGGCTGAATGCCCCTTCTGAAGCCTGGGCCAATGGTGGCCAAGCTGCTCGGTCACGCGTTACGTCAAATAGGGGTTTAGGGCTTAGGGTTTAGGGTTTAGGGTCCAGGGTAGGGTTTAGCAGGCAAGCTACCACAGGGGCCCTGAAGCTTGGAGGTTTGGGGTTGAGGCTGCAGGGGCCGAAGCACGCCTGCGCGCGAAGCCCCAAACCTTGGCAAAGAAAACGAATTCGACGTATATGGTATGTGCCCTGCATTGCGTCGCGAGTGTCAGCTAGGCAGGTGGCAAAAGAAAAGCCTAAACTTCCTAGCCTTAACGTCGCACTCGATTGGACACAGGTAAGGGGCGGGTTTTGGGCCTTCCTTCCTAGTTCTGAGCCGGCGCCCGTTGCGGAAGGTGCCTTACATTTCACCCTAACCCTCTGCAGCTCCCCCCCATACAGCCCCCCCGCCCCTTCAAAATTTGAGGGACAGGGTTGGGGCACCCAGAATTCCTGAACTCCCTGTGCGCTATCAGGGCTCAGGGAAATGAGCAACTCCTGGATCGGGGCATGAAGGGCTCTTATGTAGGGTTGCTGAGCCTTGGCGGGGGCGAAGGCCGGCTCTGCTTCTGGGCGCCCTTGGAGGCGTGGTTCGAAAGATGCGTGGTCCTCTGAACCCCGAAGCCCTCACCCTAAACCCCCAAATCCTAAAGCCCCAAAGCCCTAAACCCTAAACCCCAAACCCGAAACCCTAAACCCCATAACTCCGAGACCTTGGGGCCCCCCGGCGACGACAGAAACAAACCGAACTCTCGCGCCAAAACCCTGCATCCCAAACACCCTTGACCTTGCATCCGAAACTTCTAGGGCCGAAGCCCAAGTCAAAAACCCTGGACTTGGTTTAGAGTTTCTGGACTTCTCAGGGTCAGATCGTCGGAAGTTAGGGTTCAGGGCTTTTAGGATTCTTGGCCTGCGCCAAGGCAACAAGACTTCTTCTGAGGATGCTTTCCCTGGCCATTGAGCCTAAAAGCCCTACCAGCCTCAGACCCCTGAACCCTAAACCCTAAACCCTGAACCAGGCCCCAGACTGAGTGAGATTGCGCAGCGGGTGCCCAGTGCTGTGCCGGCACTTCGAGCCAGCCTGGAAGGCAGGCCGACCAGCTTGGGCTCAGGAGGACCAGCTTGGGCTCAGGAGAGTTGGGTGGTTTAAGAGCTCCTGGTTACAAACGTGTTGGCCGAAGGCCTGAGAGCTTGGTGTAGTGCTGATTCGGAAGATTCAGGGTCAAAAAAGGGGGATCCTCTAAGACCTAGAGACCTGAAAGCCTAAGCTCCTCAATTGGGGTCTTTCGCTGACGGCTAAGGGTTTCGGCTCGGCGGCCTTTGCTGGAGTGCAAAGCCCCCTTTATAAGTGCGCCATGAGAGATGACATCGCATCGGTCTGCGAAGTGGATGTTGGCCCTGCTGCTTTTGGTGATAACCAGGATGCTTGCACTTTTTGCTCGTCTGCCGCTGGCATTCGCGTATGTGGCGTGGACTTCAGCATGTACAACGTCGCCTCTTCGAACATCGTTTTGGACG